TAGAAAGTACCTTGAAAAACCTATCACCATGTTGTTATAATTAACCCAAGAATTTCTACAGACTTTCCCAAGTTACATTGGTTCGTTCTTATCAAGATATAAATATGTTATTAAATAGGTGTTTCTTATTATTTTAAAGCTAACCAGTTATTTTTTAGTCTGTCCAGTTAAGTTATTTGTAATGGTCATTATGTTATCTTTTAAAATGCCAGTTACACCCAAATATTGTGTACATTTAGTAAATACCAGCTTTTAAGCTGTGTACTTGTAGGCAAGGGACATGCGGCATAGCCCTTTGGTGATAAGTACTTCCACTGGGAAATGTAGAGGTAGAATGTGGTTCCCTATTGAGTCAGGTATATTCAAGTAACCTGGATGAAACCATGAGATTTTGAGATTTAATTGCCTCAAATGTTTTCCTTATATTTGAAGAAAAGAGAAATCAGGAAAATTTATTCTCTTGGAGAAAAGGTTTGAATCGAAGTGTGATGTTGTAACTTAACCCTAATTAAAATTTTTCTGTTATATGATCTTGGTTTTATCATGGATGGGAAAAGTAGAAAACTTCAAAGAAAATAAGTGAAAATTTAAAAGTCAACATTTTCTTAGATTTCTTCAACCACTGTTCTTGGTTTATTTTTTTATGTATCCTGAAAAGGTTGTTCCCCCTTCTTGAGATGAGATAGAAATATAAACCAGCTGCTTGGCATAAATGAGAATTTGTGTGGGTGTTTAAACAATTTAAATGTATAATTCTGAGCAGAATTCTACAGTTACCTCCAAATAAAAGAATATGCTTATAGAATTTTACAGAGAAGTTGTGAAAGTAGAATTTTTCCTACAATATCAACTGGAGGTTACTTGCAAATGAACTTAATTACCAGAATTTACTACTCAGATAACTTTGGGAAACTGGAATACGTATACATATATAACATATGATTTCTAGCAAGATATGTGCCAAAGTCCGTATGTATATCAACAAGTTCTGTCTGAAGAGGGAGAGAGATACATTGGTGAACAGTTTAGAATATAAATGATGATGACCACAACAAAATGGTCATTTCTGTTTGGAAAAAGGAAAAACTTAAATGTGTGTTACAGTGTCCTTTGTTTTTCCACCCCAGTGTTGACTCATGTAAAATAAAAAAAAGCCCTAAAATCCTATTGGAGAGAAAAGAATTATTTAGGTTGCATACTACCTTATCAGCCTAAATATTTTTTCCCATTTTGCCTTCTGAGCAGGGACTTGGGTTAGGTTCAAGATAATAAAAATGAATTGGGAACATTATCACAATTCCAGGCTTTCTATTGAATTGATGTGCTTTAATAAATATTTGAAATTGTTTGACTATTTAAAATTAATCTGACTAGTGCTTCCTTGTATGTAGTATGTGGAGCTATCCTCTGAAATTTAGGTCTTTCATTGTTGAATCTATTTCTAAATGTTCATTATTACATGGTGCACAGTGACACTCCATATATTCCATAAATATTTCCCTTGTACAGTTATAAAAACATTATACAGTAATTGGTAATTATAGCTTGAACTGAAGATTATGCAGAAGGAACAAGCGTCTCACAGGGACCATCATCAGTATGAGCCACATCTGGTTCAAACACATGAAACTTCAGAGATAATTCATTATTTGCTAATGTTTATGGCTCTTTTGTTCCCTTTAAAGAAAAAATTAAAAGTTGCCTTCTAATAAAAATTGTTCTGAATTAAAAATTAATCTGGCCTGTAATCTAAATCTGGATTCAGTCTATTTATCTTACCAAAATTGAAAGAGTAAAAGTTAGAAATAGTGGTTTGGTTCAAATTAGATTGTTTAAAAGTGAAATTATGTTTTCAATGTGTCTGATCTAATTTTTGACCTGTAGGTAATTGATTTTCACATTAAGTGGTTAAGTGCAGGGACAGCTAATGTATGTATAAGCTCTTAATACAGATATATTTTGATTTTATAAAATGGATAAAATCAGGACTCAGTTCAGAGGGGTATAATCTAATACTTTAAGCTCAAGGAGTTACTGAAGACCTCATGTTGGGATATGGCACATAGCAAGATGAAAGTGTGGTCTGGCTCTGTTAGATACTTAACTCCAATCCTGAGGTTTGTGTGAATGTAGTTATGGTGTCTTGGGGCATTGTCTACGAGAGGGGTTGACATGATAGGAATGTGTTGCAAGGAATACTCATCACCTGTGCAGAAGCCCTGGAATACATGGGAAGTGATCACTACTGATAGTTGATCTAAAACCAAGTTTATAGAAAAATCTAGTCTCCAAACAAGGATAATTAACGTCCACCTTGAATAATTTCCAGTTTTGAGGAAAAAAACATTTTGGCAAGATTCAAATTTAAACTCCACAGTTAATTTTAAGTTAATGCTCTTCCTGGGCCAAGTTTTGCCTTTTTGCAGGGAGGAGAAGGAGGTGATGTTTTCATGAATATAAAATCCATTGAAGGCCTGACCAGTAGTGTGATTAAGTGGTTAAGCATCGACCTATGAACCAGGAGGTCATGGTTTGATTCCTGGTCAGGACATATGCCTAGGTTTTGGGCTTGATCCCCACCTAGTAGGAGATGTGCAGGAGGCAGCCGATTGATGATGATTGATTCTCTCTCATCATTGATGTTTATAACTTTCCCTCTCCCTCCCTCTCTGAAATCAATAAAAACATTTCTAAAAAATGTAAAAGAAAATAAAAACACCCTGAAATAATATGTGAAAATATTTTGGGATAACTAGGACATAAACATTTAAACATTAAGTGTGTTAGATCTTTTTTTTTTTAACTTGATTTTTTGTTGTATTGCTTAAAATATTACAAAGAGTAGTACATATATCTCCTTTTTTCCCCCCTGCTTGACCTTCCCCCGGCCTCCCTACCCCCCAGTGTCTTGTGTCCATTGGTTATGCTTATATGCATGCATACAAGTCCTT